GTCTCTTTAACTTAAAGAGTTCAGCTTGTTTGGCCTTACTGTATAGATTTGAGTTTGTTTGGCCTTGCTGAAAAACTTTATCGGAGTCACATGTAAACTTTTGTTGAAAAACTACTACACACTGTATATATTTTTTTCACTTAATTTCTTGCCCTGGGCAGTTCATGTGGCTCCGCCGCTAGAGAGGAGACAGAAGAAGAAAAATGGAAATACGCATTAATTAATTACATGATCACCTCCCTACCGTAATTATCCTCGAAGTTTGACTCCCATTCTCATCAGTTACCATCCTCTCCTCAAACCTCTTCACATCACAAGGTATCTTCAACACCCCAACGTTACTGAAGCCGTACTCTCTCTTCGACTCCTCGAGATATTCCAAAACGTCGGCATCGCTGAGTGAGCTCGCCCTGATCATAAACCGTCTCGAATCCGACCCGTACCCGACGCAAACGGGTACGTAGCCCTTCTTGGCCCGGATCCGCCGGCTCCTGCATCCTCCTCTGATTAGCTTGCTGGGTTTTAGTCCCATAACGGGCCGAAGGCTTGCCAGCGAGCTAGCGCTTGGTTTTTTGGTCGATGTCTTAATGTTGGGTTATATAGAAAATGACTTATTAATTAGAGGTTTGGTACGTCCTTTACTGCTACGGAGTTCACCTTTTTGATGTTGATGGATTTGAGATATCAGGAGATTTATGTGACGCGGGATGTAATCTAAAGGTGGCAACGGGTCGGATTTAGGTCGGGTTCCATCGGATCCGTTTCAAGGGAACGGTACCTTCTTTTTATTCCTCCGCTTTCCTTGAAATAAAAAAGACAGAGTCTTATCAGAACCTCCTAACCATTCGGGCCACGGCGGTTACCAATACAAGAAGGTAAACTTAATAGCTTGTACTCACCTGCGAAATCATATTATCGATTGATTTAGTAAATATCATCCTGCGAAATATCCAAAAGATGGGGATTGTCTTGCTCTCTTTGTATATCACTGACCGGGTTCGGGTTATACGTACTAAAAAAATTCTCACCTGTGTCCAGTAAGAAAGCAACCCTAAAAAGTAAATAAACTTGGCTTGGTCGCGCAAATTTTACTATAACATGGACTCCTTTCATTCGACGGAACGTTGCCTTAATACTCAAGACGTTGATGTGGATCTATTACCTAACCCTGACCAAACCCGATAACATAAATAATATCGGTTCCCTATTAACAGTACGGAACAATGCCACGTACCTCAATGCTTGAAGTATACAATCTTCTTCACTTTTTTTTTTTTTACTAATTGATGTAATGGCGTTAAAAATGCTCTGGCTTTTTCATGGGATTCGTTTTATTTATACTTCATCGGAGTGCGGTAATTTTCTTACGCTCCATTAAAATTTAGCGGTCCGTGAAAAGTTTCCATGCTGAGATGCATCATACATGGGTTAAGAACTGCTTGGGACAGGAATTTCCCTTGAACAAAAAATTATTTTAGGATACACGTGAAGGTGGGCCTTTACATGCGAGGGTATTAGAATTCCTAAGGAGCCTTAGGATGGCCTCGTGAAAATTTGTAGTTTATCAAATGGGCTTTGTAATCTTAAAATCCAAGTCTGGCTAATAAAGTTTGAACCAGCCCATATCAACGTTTTCACTAAAAGGCCCAACCATTGTATGTAAGTTATGCCCGGGGGGGAAAAACAAATAATATACGAACTTTCCCATAAAAGGGAATTCCTCGAGTTTTATATTATTTGATGTACATTTTTGGTGCCCAGCAGAAGATGAAAAAGGGAATTTTGCCAATGCTTTTGAAAAAAATATTATTTATAATACATATCTTTTTCAACTGAGCTTTTGTATGTATGGAAAGCAGCATATGGGAATCACTTAATAATAGTTTATAATTCTTTACCATCTATGGGGAAAGTCCAATATTCTGGACTAACTTTGGTATTATTCGCAAAAGTTATGCAATCCGTACACAATATAAAACCTAAAAAACCAATAGGTGCTTTTACAAACACCCACAGATTATTTTTAAAACCAACCCGCAGATTGTTTTTAAAAGCAATCCTTTAAACGAAGTACGAAGTTTAATAAACATGCAAATCTCTTTTTATGAAACATCATCATTTTATTGGTTATAGAAGGAGCAATATAAAAAATTACACCATATTAATCCTAGGTCCATTCAATAGTTATCCTATAGGACTAGTTACAATCCATTACTATGAGGTATGGTGTATTATAAGGATGAGTGGCACTACAGGCACACTCTCCACCACACTCTCCACCACACCCCCTCTCCTGCTACAGTGCAGGGGGGCCCACCTGAGATTTTTTAACCCCCTCTCCTGCTACAGTGCAGGGGGGCCCACCTGCGATTTTTTAAAAAATCTCAGGTGACCCCCCCTGCACTGTAGCAGGAAAGGGGATGTGGTGGAGAGTGTGATGGAGAGTGTGCCTGTAGTGTTATTTTATAAATATAACCCTTACGCTTGCGTATCAACACAAGAAGCTTTGAGATGACAAATTGTAACTACAAGGGTTATCCTGGAGCCTAGGTCATGAGTAGGTTGCTCATGTATATACTCAAACTATAGAGAAATTATACACTATAGAGCACCTTATGAGTTATATTATTTCACTTTCCTTCAGAATCACTAGTGCAAAATTGGAGATCATATTAAGCTTTATCTCAACAAACTAATTAACAGTACATTAACAAAAGAATGATCACTCTAATATAGATCATATTAGCTTTATCTCAAACGAAACATAGATTCTGTTAGCAGCCCACGAATTTAAAACAAGACCAATAAGGACTCATTCGAGGATTATATGATATCTCATTGGTTGAATAATTGATGATCAATTGAGCGCAGACAATCATCCGTCTAATTACTTGATCCCGTTATCTTTATCGTCATCAATAATTAACAACAAACACTTCAATTCAAAGCTCAGACGACCCCATGTTATAGACAATTTGTCCACAGTCAGTGATCACAAAGAAAAATTGTGCAAGACAAATGCTTGTTACAGATTCAAAAATTAGTGTTGGTTCCAAACAAGCAGCTTTATAAAATCTCAATATCATCTCACGAGAATATACCTTGATCGAAATTGGAGGAGGCGTCGGAGGTGGCAGAAGCGACCGGAGGTAGCGATGAGGAGGCGATAGCGGCGACGTGGAAGCGACAACGGCGACTACTCAGAAGCGCTGGCAACGCGGATACGGCTGCGGCGACGAGTCGGAGGCTGTTAGGGTTAAGGGGGAGAAAAGGGAATCAGGTTGGTTTGGGGGAAACATAGGTCACAAGGATCTCAAAATACATTTTTTGTGTTTTGAGAAAAACGATTATCTTTTGGGCTTTGTAAAGGGTCAGTCCAAAAAAACACCACAGTTACCAAACTTGTTTCATTATATTTTTAAAGAAAAAAAAAAGAAACAGAAAAAACACCTCGATTACCAAAGCGCTCTCTAAATAATTAAACCAATAAAGAAACTGGAGATCATACTCATCTTAACTTAAATCGTTCCTGCGGCTAACGTTATCGTGGCCGTGCCAAAAGTATATAACATATCAAGCTCCACGTCACCACCCCCATCTTAGTTTTTCCTTATTTAGGAAACGCCGCAACTCGCAGGCTCACGTTAAGCGCCATATTGTCGCTGATTCCACGTGGGGGCAAACTCGTAACTAAGACCAGCATCAGGCCCATTATTCGAGTAGGCCCCACCTGCTTTTTAAGTTAATAATGCCGTAGGATGAGACCGGCGGAGAACTTTCTGGAGAGGAATGAAAAAAAAAAAAAATTCTGCTCATAAATCAAATCTGGACCGTCTACCTCGCTCTGGATCGTACGGCTG